CTAAGGAAGAAAACCACAGATGCTAAAACCCAAAGCTTTTTATAGATTCAGCCTCTGCTGACCAGCTCTCCAGACCCGGGCACACGGGGGCTTCCGTCCTGGGAAAGGCCACAGGGGACAGCTCCGCGGACGCCAGCACCGAGCTGAGGTCAGAATGAGGAGGTGTCACTGTTCTTAATACCCTAGAGGTATTCTGTACAGGGCGGCAGGGACAGGGCTCGGCCCCGGGACAGTGGGCAAGTGTTCCTAGTTCTAGGCCTGCTGCGTGGCGGTGTCAGACTCCAGGAGACTCCATAGACTGTCAAGAACAGCAGCTGGGGACTCACTAGCAAGGTACGTCTCGGGTCCCCCAGCATACCCATCAGCCCGGGAACAGAACCCCACACTGGAGACACCTCCAGGACTCGGGGGACAGTCACTGGACAGAAGAGCTCCGTGACGTCACTAGGATGAAGCTGTGTACAAAAGAGCTTTCCTGTGTTCAAACGGCACCTGTTAGGAGAAATGTCCATTCACAGCTCCAGAAATGACCAGAGATTCACCTAGCAGGCCCCGGGTTCCTGCTGTTGGACAGCAGAGTTCAGTTAGCCAGGTCAGCCTGAAACGTCCATTAACAGGGGCAGCTCCTCAAGAACACCACCACCAGCTTCAGAAGTGGTCACGGTGCCACCAAAGTGCAGAGAAAAATAAGAAGCAAGCACACCAGAAGGTTCCAGAAGACGGCCGGAGGGGAACGGCTCTGCCTCATCTCCTTACCGTGAAACTCCAGCCACCAAGATGAAAGAGACCTCAACTGAGAAATGCAGGCCATGAGCCCGTGTCCGTTCAAGTCAGCGGGGACAAGGTGTACCACCTCCTGTAAAGCCTGCTGGGCTTGGTTCTGGGGTGAGACGAGGCCCGTCCTAGGACACAGCGACATGGAGCGGAAGGACGAGTCCTGTCTTCCTCAGGGAGGAGACATCTCCCCAGCAGACCACCCAGAACGCCTCAGAGATGCTGCCCAAGGCCACAGGGTGGACAGACGGAGGACGCGGGCTGTGCAGGGCAGGGGCTCTTGGCTTTGTCCACTGAAGCACCTTGAAGTCACCAAGGAAAGACCTGCCTCCCAGAGCGCAGCTCCTGAAGGGTGGGCCGCTGCAGGCCCAGGAGAGATTTCAGAAGCAGAGGACGAGCGAGCTCTCCCCACGGCGTCGCTGCGCAGGTGACAAACAGTCCCCTGCACATTAGGTCTAAAGGGAGTTTAGGAGGGTGATCGACGTCGGCATCTAAATAATGACCCACTCTGCAGCTCCTGCGGCTCACCTCGGCATGGCCCCACCAAGAAGCACAAGGCCCTCACTGCGCCTTCGGCCCTAGCAAAACACTGTGCTGCGGGGACAGAGTGACCAGGGACAACAGGTGGAGGAGGTGGGGACACGGAGCAGGGCTGTCAGAGACATGAGGATGAGGGTCGGTCAGTGGGTGAGTTCTGCTCAGGTGTGGCCCTCCTGGGAGGACCATCGGGGGTCGGCTGGGCCAGAGGGCTCACTGCCGAGACGCGTCCCCCTGGGAGGACCATCGGGGGTCTGCTGGGCCAGAGGGCTCACTGCCGAGACGCGTCCCCCTGGGAGGACCATCGGGGGTCTGCTGGGCCAGAGGGCGCACTACCAAGACACGTCCCTCCATGTGCACATGTAACTTTGTACACATGCGGCTTTTTCATAAGAAAAAGTTGCTTTACCTCTTCCTTCTAGCACTTTCTGGGCTGTGCTTGGTCCTCAGGTGCAGGGAGACCTCCAGCCTTTACCAACCGAGTTCCTGCTCGGATTTGTGCTGGCCTCTCATCTCCGTGACCTAAAGACCTGACAAGGACCTCGTCAGGAGGAGAACGTCCTCTGCTCATGGTTCTAGAGGTTCAGTCCGTGGCCAGCCGACTCCATGGCTCTGGGCTCGAGGTGAGGCCCGGCATCACACAGAAGGCCATGGTGGACGGGAGCCGGCAGGCAGAGAGCACGCGCACAGGGAGGTCGGGGTACTGCAGTTCCAGGCGCACGCCCCGTGACCTGCTCCCTCCGGCCAGGCCCCACCACCTCCGGTTACCACCTACTCATCCTCACACCATGAGTCCCTCAAACAGACTGACCCACTGAGGGGTACAGTCTCACACCTCTCACTCACCTCTAAGCCTTCCCACACTGTCCCACAGGAGCTTCAGGGGACACCTCAAACCCTGACACTCCTCATCTGTTCAAACAAGGTCACGAGTTCCTCAGACCCAGGTGTGA